GCACAACATCAAACAGCCTTTTGTCTTCCATATATAATATAATTTTAAAGATGAGATGTCTGGCAAGGTTATTATACCCCATACCAGAAGCCAGGTCCTAGATTGGGAATTGTTTACAGACTCCTTACCTGGCTGGGTTAAATTTGCCCTGAGGATCATTCTCTTCACAGCCTTCATGAGAAGTTGTAGACACGAGACTATTGTAGACCAAGTAGCCATTGCTACTACAGGATCCATCAGACAAAGTAGTTCTTCAAACTAGTCCCACAGAAGCAGCCTGGCCACCTGGCTGGTCAGTGGCAACTTATACCCTCAAAAGAGGCCTCATGCTGATTTGTGATGCTCGTACCACGTAAACATACATCCTTGCCTGCACAAATTGGCCCTGATCTTTGGGCCTACTCTTAATAGGGTTCCCACACCACCCCTTACACAGGATGGTCTTTTAGGCGTACCCTGCCCATTTGCCAGCTCCTTGAACAGAGTCTACTACAACAATAATGGGTCCACCCTAGGTGAAGCTCACATTCCTGTCCCCTCACGGTGTGCCATCAAGGCCATTACATAGTTAAGCCTGTAAAGACCAGCTGTCCAAATGGCCAAAGGGCTGCTTTCCTCAGCATCTGAATGAACGATATGTTCGTCAGTATCCAAATGGACAGTCTCAGTTGTGCATGTAGCAGGGTACTAGACCCATCCTTACACCACTTGGCCTCGTGGAGGGGTGGCGTACCTTCTCGGGGACAGACTAAGGACTACCCCTCCATGGGGGTTTCATCTCTTGACGGGGTCTCATGTCACAGGACCCAACAGGGTTTGCAATTACTGTGACAGAGGGCTGGTACTTACTGCTGCTCTCCATTGATAGTTACTGCAACTAGGTTAAAAAAAATAAGGGTTTCCTCCCTAATTTTGTATATATTAAAATTTTTTTCATAAAAATAGATTGCCTAGTTATGTTGAACATTGCAATTAACTGAAATTTACTGAGAAAAAAAATCAAATTAACCAATATCAAGTATTGACATGAAAATACCATACACTATAACCTCCACAGTAGATTCCTGAAATAGACTTTCAACCAAACCTGGCCAGCGTGGCTCAGTGGTTGAGCATTGACCTGAGGTTGGTTTGATTCCTGGTCAGGGCATATGCCTGGGTTGCGGGCTGGATCCCCAGTGTGGAGCCTGCAGTGGGCAGCCGGTCAGGATACTCTCATCACTGATGTTTCTCTGTCCCTCTCCCTCTCTGAAATAAATAAAAAAGACATTTTTGAAAAGAGAAAATTGTGCTTGATTATTAATTCAAATCTGTTAACTCAAATGGCCACAGATTAACTAGGATCTGTGATTTTCTCAAGGCATTTTCTTAAAACCACCAGATAAAATGGTAGATGCATGGCTGTTGGTGAGCATAGAATTAAAGGTAGTTCTCTTCTAATACTGGCTCTGCATATTTCCTGTCTATTGATAGCAGTGATTAGACTCAGGGCTCCCCATTGCGATGTGCTGACATCTGACCAAGATCCCCTTGACAAACTTGAGTCAGGAGGCCTCTACCTTGGGACATCTGTCTGTCTTTGTGTCATCCCATTTGAACAAGAATCTAGTTGAGTCATTTTAGCAAGAATGCCCCACCCTTGATATCTAATTGAATTCCTCACCACCACCCCCTGCCCCCCGTTATCCTCTTCACCCCCATAGTGATGTCTGCTCAGTTGGGCCTGACTCAGCAAGAATCCTATCCTAGTGGGTTTGGCCAGACCCTCCCCCCTCCCCCCCCCCCCCCACACACACACACACTCCGATATTTCCTCTTAGTAATTTTCCGTTCACCAACTCCCTCAACCTGCTCCTGGGCTGTAAATCCCCACTTGTCCATGTTTGTCTTTGGAACCGAGCCCAGTGTTACACTGAAGTCTCTTTTTCTCCTGCAGTGGTTCTCAACCTTCTGGCCCTTTAAATACAGTTCCTCATGTGACCCAACCATAAAATTATTTTCGTTGCTACTTCATAACTGTAATGTTGCTACTGTTATGAATCGTAATGTAAATATCTGATATGCAGGATGGTCTTAGGTGACCCCTGTGAAAGGGTCGTTCGACCGCCAAAGGGGTCGTGACCCACAGGTTGAGAATTGCTGTCTATTGCAACAGCTGAATAAAATCTGTTTTTAACCCTGGTTTTCTTTAACACAGTACACTGATCCATTCTTGTTCTGAGTCTCTATTTTTGCTAGAATCTTTGCATTTTGCTACCCTGTGCCCACCCTTTCCTTCTCTAATAATAATGATACAAGGGGTAAAATCCATGAATTGGGCACAGAAAGTTGAATAGGAGAAGCATGTCACCTTAAGAGTGAGTGTTTTTTTGTGTGTGTGTGTTTTTTAATCCTCACCCGAGGATATTTTTCCATTGATTTTTAGAGAGCGAGAAAGAAGCATCGATGTGAGAGAAAATCGATTGGTTGCCTCTTGCACGAGCCCAGACCAGGGCCCGGGCCAGGGAGGAGCCTGCAACTGCGGTCTGTGCCCTTGACCAGAATAGAACCTGGGATCCTTCGTGCCATAGGCCGAAGCTCTATCCACGGAGCCAAACCGGCTAGGGCGAGAGTGAATTTTAACACAGCAAATTGGATAAAGCCCAGTCCCTTAATTAAGGAATATAATGTACATTATTCCACAGGTCATTAGTGGCCAAACACAATTCACAATTTTCACTGGGCAGAGGATAGGAGAGAGAGGAAGAGGAGAGGGAGAAGGAGAGGGGAGAGGGTCTGTGGAGCTTGGGAACACAGAGGCTTTGTCTGAGCTGCTGGCAGCTTAGATGGTGCTGTATTCTTCTGTTTACCAAAGTTGGGGACTAGCTAAAAAGCTGTAAGATCAAGGTCAAAGTCTCGATGGAGACAGATCTGCTCTGGAAGTTAGGATTAAAGGACAAATGAAGACCCATTTAGGTTTGTTTCTTTCAGTTTTGATCAACCAATTCACTATATACCTTGAAATAATTAAATGGTCTTATAGCTATTCATAAAACTCACTTTTTTCCATATTTCTACAGGAAAAAAATAGCATTTTTGTCATGAATCTGAAAATCTTTGGCTTGTTTTTTGTTTCTTAAATAAAAAACCAATTTTTACAACACATTGTGACACAAGGTTTTGTTAGATAAACAACAATGCTCTAATTGTGGATGACTTCATGTACATTGAAGCTTTAGGGTAGGGGTCCTCAAACTACGGCCCACGGGCCACATGCAAATACAAATATTGTATTTGTTCCCATTTTGTTTTTTTACTTCAAAATAAGATATGTGCAGTGTGCATAGGAATTTGTTCATAGTTTTTTTTTAAACTATAGTCCGGCCCTCCAACGGTCTGAGGGACAGTGAACTGGCTCCCTGTTTAAAAAGTTTGAGGACCCCTGCTTTAGGGTGAAATAATAGAGATGTCCTTACCTCGTCAGAGTCTTTCCTAAGATAACTTCCCTCTATAAATGACCCACTCATTTCATAATTATCTTCACCAATCTCCATAACAAGATGTCATACCCTCCAGCCCTTTTTCTGCTTGAATCTCTCTACACTCATATACAATAGTGTATGTTTTACTGTGAATGAGTATGGATTTATTTTTTTTATTTTTTTTATTTTTTATTTTTTTTATAAATGTGTTTTTGTTTGTTTTTTTTGTATATTTTTATTATTGATTTTTTTACAGAGAGGAAGGGAGAGGGATAGTTAGAAACATCGATGAGAGAGAAACATCGATCAGCTGCCTCCTGCACACCCCCTACTGGGGATGTGCCCGCAACCAAAGTACATGCCCTTGACCGGAATCGAACCTGGGACCCTTGAGTCCGCAGGCCGACGCTCTATCCACTGAGCCAAACCGGCTAGGGCGGATTTATTTTTAAAGTAATGAAAATGTCAGAGGATTTGATAGTGGTGATGTTTCTACAACCCTTAAATATATTTTAAAAGCTCTACATTTTATGCCTAAAATTTTGAATTCTGTAGTACATATATGTTATGTTATAATAAAACAATTACTGTGTTTTTGGTTAAAAGTGGCAGGTGAACAACACATACTGTTTCTTCCAAAAATATGGAAAAATGATGCATCCACAATTTTGAGGGAGAATAATTTTCAATCTGGAATTCTATACCCAACAAGGCAATCAAATGTGAGGGTAGAATAAAGCAGCTTTCAGGTATGCAAGAACTAAAACAAAATTCACTTAACACGTGCTCTTTCCAATGACGGCACTAGAGAGAGTACTTCAGAAAACGAGGGAGCAAACAAAAAATGAGAATGCCATGTGATCCATGACATAGGTGATCCTTACGGCAAGAAAGTGCAGGGAAGTTTCAGTCCCGCAGCAGACTTTGAGAGCAACCAGTCCAAAAGTCGAGCCAGAGCACAGATTACGAAGGCAGTAGAAGTAAACAGTTATTTGATAGATTGGAATATTTGAAAAATTGATAGTTATTTGACAGGTTTGTTGGAATATTAAAAAAAGTGAGAAATAAAACACTAAGCAAATTAAAATAAATGAAAGCAAAATAGAACAATTTTTAACTCCAGGAAAAACAAATTTTTACAAAGAAATGAAGTCATCACTGATTACAAAGTTGTGTAGAAAAGATATTTACTTATTGATGATAATATAAATATTGACAGGTATAACTGCATTCAGTTGGTAAGGGGAGAGGGAGAGAAAGGACGAGAGTGTAAGAAAATTAAACCCTCAATTGGGAGCCAATAGTCTATAGTAAGTAAGCATATATGTAGCTGTATGGATTTTTAACAGTATGGAAATGAATAGAGAAAAATAGCTAAAATTTGTTGAATGTGTTGCCTTTGGTGAGTGGGATTATGGAGTGGGATGAAGTGCAAAAGGGGCTATTGTTTCTCCTTATAAGCCTTTTAATGCATTATAACTTTGTGCAAATATTATTTTGATAAATACTCATCAAAATGAATTAAAAAAGTAGTTACAGTAACTGATGTATTCGTTTGCTAGGGCTGCCATTACATAGTACCACCTAGTATCACTGAGTGGCTTAAACAGCAGTTCTCCAGGCTGGAAGTCCAAGCAGAAGATGTCAGCAGGTTGGTTCCTCTGGAGGGCTGGAGAGAAGGTATGTCCCAGGTGACTCTCGTTGGCTTGTAAATGATCATCGTCTCCATGTGTCTTCACATTGACTCCCCTCCATGAGTGTCTCTGTGTCCAATGTCTTCTTTTTAAAAAAAAAAATATTTTATTGATTTCTCAGAGGAAAGGAGAGGGAGAGAGAGATAGAAACATCAATGATGAGAGAGAATCACTGATTGGCTGCCTTCTGCACACCCCCTACTGGGGATCAAGCCCGCAACCCAGGCATGTGCCCTTGGCTGGACTTGAACCTGGGACCCTTCAGTCTGCAGGCCGATGCTCTATCCACTGATCCAAACCGGCTAGGGCCAATGTCTTTTTTTTTTTTTATAGGACATCAGTGAACCACCCTAACAACCCCATTTTCACTTGATTACGTTTGAAAAGACCCATTTCTAAGTAAGGTCTGGGAGTTAGGTCTGCAGCCTGTGAATTTGGAGGGGGCACAATTCAGCCCATAACATGGGGGGGATTGTTGGTGGCAGCCAAAGTTCCTGTGGAGAAATTATCTGTAATGTTAGCAAGTCATTTAATTTTGGCCATGAATCCACTTGAAGTTCTAGGGGGTGGTGCCCTCTGTGGAACACAAAGCTGCCATTCAAAGAAGTGCCCCTGACTCGGGTGTGGCTCCTACGCTATCTTTCTGGGACTGAGAACACCACCGCGTGAAGGGCAAACACCAAACTTTAAATAGGAGCAAAGAGATATGGCATAACGAGTGTTCTGTGGGAACTCCATACTTCGGTTGCATAAATTGTGCATCGCTCCATATATCATGGAGTAGAAGATCAAAGACAGGACTTCACAAAATCTGCCAGTAAGGACCTTTGTTGGAAAGGTTTGAGAAGCAGAGGAGTCCTTTAGGGAAGAGGTTATCTCTATAATCTACCCACTCTATCTTGCACTTTTGAAATAACCTGAATTCACCAGAGAGAAAGGGGGTGGGGGAGGAGAAGAGGGTACAGGGGATAAATGGTGATGGAAGGGGATTTTACTTGGGTTGGTGAACACAATACAATATATAGATGCTGTATTATGGGATTGTACACCTGAAACTTATATAGTTTTATTAGTCAGTGTCACCCTAATAAATTCAATTATAAAATAAAATGCAAAAGAAAAGCCTGAAAAATAAAATGAAGTGCAAAAAAAAAAAAGCCTATTTAGACAACATCTCCAGTTGTTTTATAAGTAGGAAATGTGTTCTTACAACTGTTTCGCAAGCTTCTTTAAGGCCAGACCACAATAGCTAACTGATGTAGCACTATATGCCAGGCACAGTTCCAACCAGTGTGACATCGTAACCAGCTTAGTGACTGTCCCTGAGTCCTCCAGAGCCCGTGCTCTGAGCCACCTTGTTCTGCTCCCGAGCCCTCACGCACGTCCATGCAGTACAGGCAAAGTGCCGGCCTCACAGCAGGAGTGAACCAACCAGCAGACGTATGTACCTCGTTACGCACATCAAGAATGTTTAGCCATGAAGTTAGTGTGCAATGAGATTTATATGGTATGTTTTCAGTCTTGTTGGATCGCCCCCTCAAGGTCCCCTAGGATGATTCTTTTCGCATTACTGTGACAAGAGCCTGGAAAGAAACTTTATGACAGTGTTGGCATGTAAATCTCACTCTCATGCAAGGAGTTGTGGGAATTCAAGAGGCAAAGCTACTGTTGGTTGGATTAGTTTCAGAAATATCCTTTCACCTTTCAAATCATTAGTATGTAGTTCTCCACATAGAATGAAATTTAGCAAAAGCACTGGTTGTAGGATTCATGACATTTATTTTATTTATTTTTATTTCAGAGAAGAAGGGAGAGGGAGAGAGAGATTAAACATGAATGATGAGAATCATGGATCAGCTGCCTCCTGCATGCCCCTATTAGGGATCTAGCCTGCAACCGAGGCATGTGCCCTGGCCAGAATCGAACCTGGGACCCTTCAGTCCCCAGGTCGATGCTCTATCCATTGAGCCAAACCAGGTAGGGTGGACCCATGACATTTAACCGAGGCACAGTTACAGGATTCAATGGCATAACCCCCAAACTCCAGGAAAATAATAAGAAAATGCCATGTCCAAGACTGAAGTCAATATTATGGGGTGTTATGTTAATTAAATGAGATTCTTAATTTACAGAAATCATCTATCATAGATTTTTTTAAAAGTCTTCATGCATTTGAACGTAAATGGTAATTGTTATAGAATTGTCCAGATCTAATCTCAGTAGTAACTACACTGAGGTACTCTTGCTAAATTGTGCGAGGGCATGCATGTATGGATGCTAGTCTTGGATGTGTGTATATATGCATGTTTGTGTATGTAGGGAGTGTTAGGGAGGGTGCATGTTTACTCTGAGTAGAGTGTGGAAAGAGATTCCAAAGGCAGGGATTTGTCAGTGTGATTCCAACTCTGTTCATCGCTTGTGGGTTTGGCTTGTGGCATGTGCGGTGAGGTATAGCGCGGTGGGAGCTGGGATGATTGCTGTGGTGGTTGCCACGTTGGCAGGAGCATGTGTGGTTTGGTGGAGTGAGTTGGTGTGTGGTTTGATTTGGGGAAAGTGAGTATGGAGAGAGCCTTGGAGAGGGCGTTGGAATGGGGTGTTATGTGGGATGTGAGAGGTGGGAGACTGGGATATGAGAGTGTGGGGCTGACGTGTAGATATGGTTTGTGACTGTGTATGTGTGTGTTTGTGTGTAATGTGCTTGTAACTTAGCTTTTGTTTAGATTTTCTTTTGCCCTTTGTTTCAGTCTTTGTTTTTGTCTTTGTTTGGCCTTTGTGTTGTCTTTGTTTCACTCTTTGTTTAAACTTTCTTTGGCTTTTGTTTGCTCTTTCTTTAGCCTTTTGTTGAAACTTTGTGTGGCCTTTTTGTAGTCTTTGTGTAGCTTTTGTTTTTAAGTGAATCTTGGCTGAGAACCCATCAAAAACACCTTGTGTAATGAAAAACCCGGATATATAATCCCTCCCTATATATTCCACATGCATTGAGTAGCCTCACCCTCTCAGGCGCCTGGTACAGACGAGGAACCTGTTTCACACAACTGCTACTTGAAGGTAAGGGGATTCCATTGGTTTTCATCTTACTTCATGTTATACTTCGTCTCCAGTGGCGAGTGCGCATTTGTGTGTGGGCCGTTTCACTGTGTCCCAGGGGAAACCTGGAATAGCTGCCAGGAGTGGGAGGGCATAAAAGGAGGGAGAACGCAAGCACAGAGGACACCGAGGCTGTTCTGATGTGGGCAGAGGGCCCTCCTGGAATGTTCTGGCAAATGCCTGGAAACTGGACCCTAACTCAGATTCCGGTCTAAAGCCCCCTGTTCCTGGAGCTAGACCAACAGCACTATTGGCTGCTGCTGCTTCTCTCCTTTTATAATTTATCATGATTTGAAATGAGTTTTCCTTATCTAGGAACAACGC